TGACACAAAGTGAGCGTGTGCTGTTGGAAAAATGGCACCCATAGACTTGCCCAACGCAGGGTTCCCACAAACCTTCAATCTGTAAAAAGCCCAATATCTGTGAAGCGTAATAAAGCACGCTATGCTTGTTTATGGGAACTCTGTACCCCACAATTTTTCTGTAAACCTAAAACTGCTCTAAATACAAAGTTTATTAATTAAAAAAAAATTATGAAGGACTTGGGCACCTTTACCCATGTGCAAAATGACATTTGTAAACAGGTGCTTCATCGCTACACTGTTTATATTAGCAGAAGATTAAAACCCAGCTGCCGTGGAGTCCACGCTGACTCATAGCGACCCCATATGTGTCAGAGTAGAACTGCGCTCCATAGGGTTTTCAATGGCTGAGTTTTCTGCAGTACACTGCCAGGCCTTTCTTCTGAGGCACCTCTGGCTGGACTCAAACCTTCAACCTTTTGGTTAGTAGCCACGTGTGTTAACCATCTACACCACCCAGGGACTCGAAAGACTAGGAACAATTGTTGTTAGGTGCCATCGAGTTGGTTCCAACTCATAGCGACTCTGTGTACAACAGAATGAAACACTGCCCCGTCCTGCGCCATCCTCATGATCCTTGTCATGCTTGAGCCCATTGTTGCAGCCACTATGTCAGTCCATCTCACTGAGGGGCTTCCTTCTTTTTTGCTGACCTTCTACCTTACCGAGCGTGACGTCCTCCTCCAGTGACTGGTCCCTCCTGATAACATGTCCAAAGTACGTGAGACGAAGTCTCGCCATCCTTGCTTCTAAGGAGCATTCTGTCTGTACTTCTTCCAAGACAGACCTGTTCGTTCTTCTGGCAGTCCATGGTATATTCCATATTTTTCACCAACATGATAATTCAAAGGCATCAACTCTTCTTTGGTTTTCCTTATTCATTGTCCAGCTTTTGCGTGCATATGAGGTGATTGAAAATATCATGGCTTGGGTCAGGTGCACCTTAGTTTTCAAAGTGACATGTTTGCTTTTGAATACTTTAAAGTGGTCTTTTGCAGCAGATGTGCCCAAGGCAATTGTTCATTTCTTGACTGCTGCTTCCATGGGCTAGGAACAACTAAATGTGCTTTAATGGGAGGATCATGAGCCAGCCACGGATGGAATATTATGCACCTGTTAAGAAGGAGGAGGAGGAAGTTCTTTGTTCTCTGGGAAGAAATCCAAGATGCATTGTTAAGAGCACAAAAAAAGCTCAGGGCTGTGGAATGTCAGAGAGGGTGGGATATTGTTTGTGCGGGAGGAAAGAAAATATACAGATATGTTTGTCTCGGCAGGGAACGTTGCTGGAAGGAGAAACGAGAAATGGGGCTGGTGTCCTCTGGGGATGGCGATGGGGTGGAGGGAGTGATTGCATTTTTCTGGAGCATGTTTTGGTATAAATCTGTGGTCTGTATCTGCTTTATCTATTAAAAACAGTACACTCTAAAATACATTTTAGACAGGCTGCCATTAAAAAATAAAGGCTGAAATAAAGGCTTTGGTTGGCTTTAAAAAAGGAGGGTGGAATGTTGGACCGAGCCAGGCCGTTGCCCGCAGCCCCTGCAGGTGGTCCCCGGAGACTTGCCCTCAGCCTGGCTCCCACCTTTGGTTCAGCGAATGTTTAGGGTGCTGCAGGGGGGTTGGAGGTGAGACAAAGGCTGGGCCAGGGCCAGGGACTGGTCCAGACCTACCACCCAGATTCTGGAAAGTCCCCAGAGGCTTGGCTGGCTCCGAGGAAACCGGGAGCCTTGATGATGGGGCTGGGGGCCAAGCCAGGCCTCCTGGAGCCTGAACCCTGGGAAGGACTGCAGTGAGCAGAGGAAGCGGGCCTGCGGGGAGCCTAGGGCCCACTCTGTGCCTCAGTTTCCACACAGGTGAAGTTGATCTCTGACTGGGTGGCCCTTGTAGGGGCAGAGGATGTCTGAGAGCACCTGTGACCAGGTAACTGGGGGCTCTGCAGGGTTCCAAGCCCTGGTTCTCAAGACCCCACACCTGGACCCCTGAGGTGACCACTAGCCTGGTGTCGGGCTTCAAGGACAAGGTGGCGAGGGTGGTAGGGGCCCCCCCTAGACCTTGGGCTGGGGTGTCTCCCAGGCAAGAACTTCCAGTCCTCCTTTTCTGAGCCCCCACTCCTCCTCACTCAGTCATTGGTTCCACGCATATTTATGGAGCCCCTGGGTGTTCCTAGGCTGGTGCTGGGGCATGGTCAGAGGGTTTAACAGACTCTCGGCCCTCAAAGGTACACGTTTAGGCCTGAGAAGCTGGTAGGAGCTATGGGAAAACTAAACAAAGGAGATGGGGGTGTGGGGTGCTCCTGGCAGGGCGGGGTGCTGCTTAAATGTGGTGTCAGGGAGGCCTCATTGGGGAGTTGACACATTAGCTAAGAACAGAAGGAGGTGGGGGGGCTCTGAGGACATCTGGCGGGGAGAACCTTCCAGGCAGCGAGCACAGTCCGTACAAAGGCCATGGGGCAGGACAAGGCCTAGTGAGTTGGAGGAACAGCATGGAGGCCCATGTGGCTGGAGTGCAGTGAGTGAGGGGGAGACAGGAGGAGGGGATGGCAGGAAAGGGACAGGGCAGGTCGTGCAAGACCCTGTGGTCCACAGGAAGGACTTGGCCTTTTACCTGAGGGAGGTGGGAGCCCTGGAGGGCTGTGAGCAGAGGAGGGATGGGCCTGACTCAGGGGTAACAGACTGTCGGGGTGGGGAGGGCGGGAGCCGGGGAGAAGGGCGGAGGCAGCTGCACTCGCTGTAACCTCTCCCTGGGATGTTCTCTCTGTGCTCATCTGGAAAAGCCACCTCTTCCTCCAGGAAGCCCTCCTGCCCTACCCCCTGCCCAGCGAGGCCCCACACCCCTCTGGGTTCCTCCCTGTTCTGGTCCTGACTGCTTAGGGCTGGGAAGGCCTGCGTCAAGCTCGAAGAAAACTGTAGAAGAGCCTTCCATTGCCCCGTACGGGGGCTGCTGGGGCAGGAAGTGAGGTTCCAGGCAGAGGGTGGCGACCAGATGCACTGGGCGCCCCCCCAGGAGCCCCTCAAGGGAGACTGTATGTCGGGGGTGGGGGGATGACGTCGTCAGCCCCACGCCTGTTCCTCAGCCTTTCACAACCTAGTAAATGTTTATGGCCAGGGGACCCGAGTTTTGGGGCTCTCTGGAGCCCAGTAGGCAGCCGCTCCTCCAGCCTCATTCTAGGGGGCCGGCCGCAGGTGGGGGCCCTAGCAGGTCCGCTCCAACACTGGCAGCTGGCCCCAGGTGACGGGGGAGAGGCCTGAGTGGGCAGTGAACACAGCCCCGGGCTCCCTGGCACTCGGGGGGTGGGGGGGTGGGGAGGTGGGGACTGAGGCTGGGAGGTGGGAGCAGCTTGTCCAGATCTGGGAGCTGGCTTTGAACTTCCCTTCCTCCCCTCCCTGAGCCTCGGTTTTCGCCATCTGTGGAAGGGGCTGTGCGATCCCGGGCAGGGGTTTAGGTTTCAAGGGGAGGGGGAGGCAGCGCAGCCGTCGGTGGGAGCCGTGGCGGACTCTGCCCCCTGCCGGCCGCGGCAGGAACAGGTCTGACCCGGGCTCGCGGAGGGTGTGGGCGGAACGGCCGCCGTGCGCTTCTCGGGTGGAACCGTCTTGCTCTTTCGTGGAACATCCCCGAGACACGAACGCTGTTATTTCCATTTCCCAAGTGGGAAGGCTGAGGCTCGGGCGCAGACTTCACGCGAGGACGTGCAGCCAGAAAGCGGCGAGAACTGGGGATTCGAACCCAGGCCTGACAGGCCAGGGCCCCTCGTTTTAACCTCTGCTTGGTCTGAGGCCTCTGGGCCCCTCCCAGCCCAGGAGAGTGTCTCCATCCTCCCCAGGGACCCCAGGCTTGGGTGCCTGGCCCTGGGTGTGACCCCACCGGAGTCGGGGGCTCGGAGGGAGTGGGACAGTCGGCGGGGCAGTGGATGGGGGAACATTCGCAGCCAGGAGGCTGTGCACGCCCAGGGTAGGAGGCTGGACCGGGAAGGCAGGCGGCTCCGCGCGGCGGGACCTGGAAAGGCCATGCACCGTAGTGGAAATGAGGCTGCAGAGGCCAGGCGGGTCGCTATGCGCTCGGGAGCCGTTTCGTTTTAGCCGCTCACCCACCGTCGGGGTTACTTTTTCACTAAGTCCCGGCCTCGTGGACTGACTGGAGGGAAGGGTGCGGCGGACGCAGGTAAGGAGCACGCAGGTCGCCCCCCACCGCACCAGCCCAGCCCTGCTCCCCAGGGTGGGGCCCCGAGGCCTAATTTATGGCCCTCCGCGGCGGCGTGTTGGAGCGCGCCGGTCCTTCCTTTCCAGCTGCCAGGAAGCCCCGCGCCAATACTGGAGAAAGCGCCCCGGGTGGCTGCCAGCATTCCAGGGCCGCCTAAATCACCGGGCTGACAGGTGGCGCGGGTCAGACCCGGGCCACGCGGCCCCTGGCTCTCCCGTGCAGGCAGTCGGGCTCCCGATGGCCGGCCACCCACCTGCCAGGCCATCCAGGACTCTCTGCTCCAACGCCCAGGAATGTGGAGGTGGCGCTGGGCCCAGGCCCGTTTCCACTCTGCAGGCTTTCGGGGGAGGCCTGGGGAGGGGAAGGTCACTGATCTGCGGGGAAGCCCAGGGTCTAGAAGAGGTGGTGGGTGGCAGGGCAACTTCCAGGCGCCTGCACAAGCCACTGCAGGCCCTCCTGTGCCCCAGGAAGGGGCTGAGGCGTAGAGACAGGGGCTCCCTCTGACCCCAGCCCAGCACCCGATTCCTCCTGCAAGGCCAAGCTGGAGCCCTTGGCCCCGTGGGGACAGCCCCAGAGCCCGGAAAGTGGGTGCAGCATGTGGGGTGAACGTGGGGTGTGTTATGTCCTGCTCCATCTCCAGCCTCCCTGAGGCTCCCTCTGCTGGCTGCCTGTCAGCAGCCCTCCCAGGATCAGGGACAGGGCTCCTGAGGGGCACAGAGGAGGCAGAGTGTACACACATACAAATATCGTTTATTTTTAGCCACATTTCTGCTCATCCCGGGGCGGGGGCCTCACACCTTGGGCTCCACGAACACTTTCCAGCCCTCCAGCTGGCCCATCTTGACCAGGGCAGCAGCTGTGCCCATGCACACGCAGGAGGCGGCGCCCATGCCGTAGCTGTGCACTGCGGGAGGGGGAGGTGTGGTCAGGTAGGCATGGGACCTGAGGGGCACCGCTTCGGCGGCTGTGGCTTCTGACCAGGGCGGACCCAGGGAAGCCGACTGCCTGGCCAGGCTTCAGCCTCTTCAGGGATGAAGTCACTCAACCCTCCAGCAGACTCACAAGGGGCTGCTAGGTGGGGAAACTGAGGCCCAGTGGGAGGCAGCTGCCTAGGTCCCACTGAAGCAGGGATCTGGCTAGTGGGTGCTCTCACCCCTGCCCCTGAAAGGGACAGCTGACGCCCGTGCTGCCCCCGGCTCCGGGCTGGGAAAGGCCAAGGCCGCACCAGGCGTCAGGAAGCAGAGCCAGGTGGCCCGCATAGACGACATCCCTGTGGGTGTCTGGGCCTCATCCCTGCCCCGCGGTCTGTGAGCTGAGGAGTGCCCCAGAGTTTTCTGTCCTAGAGCCCCAGGGGCCAGATGAGGACACAGGATGAGGTGTGTCCACCTAGCAGGAACCCGCGGAGTCCTCACTGACTGGGGCAGGAGGGTCTGTGGCTCTGGGCGGGGACTCAGATGAGGACCTGAGGCAGGCTCGGGGCGGGGGCAGTCCCCCCCATGGGCCAGGGCTAACCGTGACAGCAGGTCCTGGGAAGGGCAGGGCTGAGCCCCACGTCACAGCAAAGGCAGTGAGGGTGGGCCCTCCCTCTGCCCAGCTGGAACCTTCCATGGGCATCAGAACACAGGCCTCAGTCCCTCTGCCCACTGGCCCCGACCTGCCAGCTCCATTTGTTCAAGGGGGAAACAGGCTCAGAGGCACAAGTCTTGGCAGGCCAGGGGGCGGGGATGCAGGTGGGCACTGATCAGCAGTGGCCTGGCCTGGGGCCACTGCTGGGGGAGGGCAGGCAGGACGTCCCTGTGCTAGGCAACCTCTCTGCGCCTCAGTCCCCACATCTATCAAGCCTGTAGGTTCTGGGGGCTGGGAGAGGGAAGGGCAGTAAAGGCCCCATTCTCTGACGAGGGCATGGAAGACAGGGCACAGGGAGGGCCATGCACACATTGGGGGCATGGTGTTCCAGGCAGAGGGCACAGCCTGTGCAAAGGCCCTGAGGCAGGACCATGCCTGGGGAGCTGCAGGAACAGGCTGGAGCAGAGTGAACGAGGGGGAGAGAGGAGGAGGGAGGGCAGGGAGGGGCGGGGCGGGGGCTGTGGGCTTAGTGCAGGGGGAGCCATGGGGGCTGTGAGGACGGTGGGTGTGAGGACGCAGTGTAGTGGGCCCAGGCAGATGCTTAAGCAGCAGCTGTCACTATTGCTGATGGGTGGTAGCCAAGATAAAGAAACACGGGGGCCTGTGTGGCAATGGCCCCTCTGTGAGGGAGCATTCTGTACCCCCCGGCCCCACTGTCTCCTGTGGCCCTGAGGTTTTGGATGGAACGGGGAGGGGGATCAGTGGGTCGGTGGAGGGGGGTCCACTCACTGCGTGCCCCCAGGGTCAGGCCTCCGGCGCAGCCTCCGATGAAATAGTTCAGGGGGTCGTCGGGCTTCTCCCGGACCTGGGCGCTGACACAGGACGTGACACCAAATATGGCACCAATGGCGGCTGTGGAGACAGAGGGACGGGAGAAGGCACTGGGTCGGGGCCACAGCGGGGGCCTGGGGATGAGGGGGGCCTCCCAGGGGCCACACTAGCATACAGAGAGGAGAAGCTTCCGGTATGGCCCTTGCAGATGCACCTTGCCCACCCCGGAGCTGATCTCCTGGGACCCCTGCATCTGCCTGCACCCCCACCAGTAGCTCAGATCATCGGGGACCTGGGAGCTGGGGGGTCAGAGGCGGTTATGGATGGGCCCTGAGAGCCGGGGGAAGTGACATGGGGCCAGAGTGAGGTGGCCAGGCAAGTGCCAAGGGGCCCCCCAAAGAGAAGGCACAATGCCCCTCCCAGCCTCCGGCTCCAAAGGCCATGTGGTGGCAGCTCGCTCACCTGCGGTAAACGTGTATCGTCCTGCCCTCGCCACCCCCTCGAAGAAGGAGCCTGGGGGGCTGAGCGTGAGGCTGTACGCGGAGGCAACCAGGCCTGGAAACAAGAGGAAGAGGCTGCTTAGACACCGAGTCTGCACCAAGGAGGGCACTGGGCTGGGGGGTGACCGCCTGGGCAACCTGTCAGTTCCCCCCATTTCTGTGCCACGCAGGTGAGCAGCCGGCGCCTTCTCTCATGTCATCCCCAGAACCCGCCAGGCACCAGGCCCTGCCCAGGAAGGGACGGGGAACCTCAGACGTGGAGTGATGGCATAGGGCCCCACAGCTGCTGAGCGGCAGGGCTGGGATTCGAAGCCGGGTCTGCTGAGCCCCCTCCAGCCCCCCGAGTCCCTCCACCTCACACCACTGCCAGTCTTGGGGCTTGATCAATTCCAGTTCCTGGCCCCCCCCGCATCCCTACCCCACTGGAGCCCCACCTGCGCTAGCCCTCAGCAGCGTGCTGACTGAGCAGAGGGGGGGTGTGGTGGCCCACAGTTGTCCACTGTCTATGGGCCGGACACCAGAGAACCAGGACATGGCATCCACCTGCCCTGGAGCCCGCACAGACGCAGCAGCAGCGCCCCCCACAGGCCCTAGTGGCCTAGCCCGACTCCCAGCACCCATCAAAGGCCCCATTCTGCTCTGGGGCCCGGGCTCCGAGGCTAATCCTTCTTGGCAGAGGCCGGCGCCCTCCCCGGCTCTGCTCCAGGCTGCCAGTGCCTCCTGGCCCCCACGCCCAGCTCGGCCTGGGCCCATCCTCATACCTGAACGGCGCAGCCGCCCACACCCCTGCTGTCTTTGGGGCTGGGCTCGGTGCGGGAGGGCGGGTGCTCAGGCCCACCCAGAGCGAACTGGCTGTGGGCCCCCACCCTCCCTCCCGGCTTTGCCAGACTGCCAACATGGCGGACGGGCTGACCACGGCCCCCACCTCCCAGCTGACCCTGCTCAGGGCAGATAATGCCCCTTCCTCTCCCTTCTGCCCCCCAACGCCCACTAGCCAGCAGGGACCTCAAAGGCCAGCCCATCACACAAAACCTAGAACTGCCACCTGCCGCCGGGCACCAAAGATGGCCCCACCTCCTCATCCTCCCAAGAGCCTGATGGCCTCAGTCCATTAACCTCCCCCACCCACTTCATGGGAAGGGAGGGGACCACAGGGACTTGCCTGGGGGGCCCCAGCTGGGCCAGACTGGACTAAGTGGGTCTGACCCCAGCCCTCACTCCAGTCCTGCTATCACCCGGCACTCCATCCTAGTCCCCAAACCTCCTGCTGCAAGGCCCCCACGTGACCCCTCCCCGCCCAGCCTGGGTTCAGAGCTGCCCTGGGCGAGCCACTGGAGGGGGCTGTTCCCAGCAGGCAGCGCCGTTAATCTTCAGGGCAAGCCTGTGACTGCCCCCCCCACACTGTGCAAACACGGAAACTGAGGCTGAGGAGAAACAGCCACATATAAACTCTACAGACATTCCAGATCTTATTTCTCCCAATCTTACAACAAGCCCTAGGGTCCCTGCTCAGACTCACCGAGGTGTTGAGACCTGAGCCCAGGTCCCCGGCTGGGGAGGGGAGAGGAGGGGCCAGCCCTCCAGGGTGACTCGGGATGAAGGAGCCAGTGAGGGCTCCCAGGTCCGGTCTAGGGCTCCTCCAGCCCGCACTGCCTGCCCCCGGCCCGGCAAGCCCCGTCCTCAGTCACACCACGACACACACACACACACAGTGGCGGCTTATAAAGATTCTTACCCAAAGGGGGCTTAACCTGAGGAGGCACCAACTCAGGGGCCGGGCCCAGCACGAGGGCCTTATAAAAAGTCCCCCTGGTGATTCGAGCCCCCGAGCCCAGGCACAGAGTGACCGCTGGGGGTAACCTTGCTGCCCGCCCACGCCAGCGGTCCTGCCCAGGACTCCCAGCTCATGGACCACGCCCAACATAGCCAGCGCCCCTACTGTCCTTGGTCCCCCGGGAAGTCCTTGAACCGGAAGCGATGACCCAGGAGACCCTGACTACGCAGACTGCCGGCTCTCCAGCAATCATCCCATACGGTGACCCGCCACACCCCACCCCTCCCGGAGCCCCAACAACGTCTCAGGTGCTGTGCCCCCCACCCCCAGCAAGCAGCATCTGTACTGAGCCGGACCTTTCTACAGCCCCCATTCCTTCCAAAGGCCCCTGTCCATCCTGCTGGCTCCCCCTCAGCGTCCCTCGGAGACTCTGCAGACTCGGTGCTTGCTCATCCGTTCCTTTCATTCACAGGGTGCCCACAGGGTGCTGGGCTCTGCTCAGGTCCCACAGGGAAGCCAGAGGCGAAACAAGCTCTCTCTCAGGTGAGGGGTATGAGGAGGCAGGGGATGAAGGGCAGAGGGAAGGGGAGGCTCCAGGAGCAGGGGAAGCCAAGTCCTGAGTGCTGGGCGGAGCTGGGCTGGCCAGTGAGCAACACACACAACTGACGCCCTTCCCAAGCCCTGGGCACCCAGAAGCGCTCCAGACACCAGTGACCGTCACCCCGTTCTGACCCCCTCGGAGACTCCCCAACCTGGCACCTCCATCCTCTACACGAGCCCCCAGGATCAGCGAGGCCCTCCTAACAGCAAGTCCCCCCAGAGGCTTCTCACTCGGCAGCCACCATCCCCCTCCCCCTCCCCCGAGGCTAGCTCAGTCTCCACTGACGTCTCTTCAGTCCACCACCACGGTGTGTGTGTGAGCGTGCACGCACACACGCGGGCACACACACACAGGCTCACTCAGACACACACACAACGTGCACACATGCATGCACACCCACACGCACACTCAGACACACACACAATGCATGCACTCGCATGCACTCACACACATGCACCCACGTGCACGCATGAGCACACACACACATGCACCCCCACACACGTACACTCTTTTTCTCTCTCATACACAGACACATGCCAAATTTAATATCCTTCTCAGTTTCAAAATCCTCTAAACCGTCCACCTCTCAAAATACTCTGCCTGGTGGCCAGCACAATCCTAAGTGACCCCTCCTGCTTTAATTTCCCCAGTGGCATGGCCATGACTCCCCAAAATTCTGCCAGACATTCCCTAATGGCTACTGCCCCATTTCCTCTTTAAAATCTGCCAGAATAACTTCCCCACTACAGCGACCCACCCCCAACGCTGCCCAGCCTTCCAGGGCTCAGTGCCCCCACAGACCTGTCGGATGCCACCACACACCCTGGAATCTCCCAACAACTCATCACCCAAGCAGACCCCAGATAGCCCTGTTCCCTGGGCCTCCTCATTCATCTCTCTCCTGACGACCCCTAGGATGGACCCCCCCGGGAATATTCCTTGCCCCAGCGCCCTCCAGATCAGCAGAGCTGGATTTGCATCCCGGTTCTAAATGACCCTGGGGAAGTAATACACATCTCTGATCCTCAGTTTCCACCTCTGAGAAATGGGGATAATAATGGTCAATTTTATTAAATACATAGAAAATGGTGGCAATTATTGGGGAAAAAAAAAGTTACTGTCAAGTCAGTTCCGACTCATGGCCACCGTATGTATGTCAGAATAGAAATGTGCTCCACAGAGAGTTCAGTGGCTGACTTTTTGGAAGTACATCTCCAGGCCTTTCTTCGAACGCACATCTGGGTAGATTTGAACCTCCAACCTTTCAGTGACAGTGCTGTTAACCAATAGCACCACCTAGGGACTCCGACGATCATTACCAAAACCAAAACCAAACCCACTGCTGTCGAGTCGATTCCAACTCATAGCGACCCTATGAGACAGAACTGTGCCAGGGTTTCCAACGCTGTAATCTTTATGGAAGCAGACCGCCATATCTTTCTCCCTTGGAGCGGCTGGTAGGTTTAAACTGCCTACCTTTTGGTTAGTAGCCAAGCGCTTAACCACTGTGCTGCCAGGGCTCCTACCCAGTGATTATTACGTCTCCCTAATCCAAATGGCTTGCAGTGGAGACTGAACCTCTGCCAGGAGCTGGAGCTACAGTAGTGACTCAAACTATCATATCTACTTCTCAGGGAGACTTGAGAATTAAACGAAACCATGCTGTTGAGGCACTCGGGGACTAGGAGGGTCGAGACTCTGGGGCCTCCCCTGCAGAGGAATTCCAGGGCTGTGGGTCCCCTCATATGATCATATGGTCCCTAGGTGGCCCAAATGGTTGGCGCTTGACTACTAATGGGAAGGCTGGTGGTTCCCACCCACCCAGCAGCACCATGGAAGAAAGGTCTGGTGATGTGCTTCCATAAAGCTCACAGCTTTGAAAACCCTGTGGAGCAGTTCTACTCTGTACACATGGGGTCACCATGAGTCGGAATCGACTCGACTGTAGAGGGTTTGGGTTTTTTTGGATCCCCTCATGACCCTCCCCCATAGGCTGCCTTACAGTAATCTCTGAGCCACCTCCAAGCAGGACCTCTAGGACCAATCTGGTGGCCCCAATTAAAACTCAGATGTCCCAGGACCCCTTGACCCTAAAAAGACTTCGTCCCACTCCAAGACTTCCTCTAATTTCTGTACCCCCTGCAGACACCCCAGTAAGGACCCATGACCCACTCACATAATCTGACACCTTGTTGGTAAGCCTCCAAAAACCAAACCAAACCAAACCAAACCAGATTCCGACTCTCATAGCGACCCTACAGTCAGAGCAGAACTGCCCCCACAGGGTTTCCAAGGTGCGGCTGGTGGATTCGAACTACCGACCTTTTGGTTAGCAGCCGAACGCTTAACCACTGCGCCATGACCCCTCAACTCCTGACCCCCGAAAATTAGCCTGGTGATCGCCTCACCACTAACCCCTTCGCGCCTCCCCCAAATTCCCAGCACCCAAGGACCGCCCTTCTTTCGACGACCCCAGTGACCAGCTTGTCACATGTACCACGACCTGTCAGCGCCCTCCGAACCCGCCGGACTCGCCTCTACAACGTGTTCCTCACACAAGAGCTCCAGAGAATTCCATGGCCGCCGCAGACAACCCGATGATGACCATGTGTCACCCGCGAGACCCCCAGCCCCCCATGGCCCGCTTGGACCGCCCTGGAGTGACCCTATGACCTCGCTGCTCCCTCCGCCCTCTGGGCCCGGCAGGCGCTCACCGGTGGCGCCGCCGATACTGGTGCTGGCATAGGTCTTGCGATGGCACTCGGTGCCGTCAGGGATGTCCCAGTACCGCTGAAGCAGCAACCGCGCCATGACCACCAACCCCGGATTCGGCACCGCAGTCCCGACCGGCCGGCTCCGCGCGCCCAAGGGCAGCTGCCGCTCGATCTCACGAGACTTCCGGGTCGGCGCGAGCCGGCAACAAGCGCGCAACTTTATTGAGCGCCGCGGACACAGACACGGGCGCGCGCACGCGTCAAGGGCTGGGCTGGCGGAAGGGAAGAACAAGTGCACCCCCGGCAAATTTCTGGAGGGGAAAACTGAGGCCGACCGAGGTCAGTGGAGAGCGCTCGCTAGCTCCCAGCTCAGGGGAGTCCTACGTTAGGCAAGCTTTGACTGCCGGAGGTGGAGCCTAATCTAGAGGCGGGACTGTGACAGAAGCTAGGCCTATCCCCAGGCACAGACCAGGGAATGAGGCGGGGCTCCATTTGATAGGAGAAAGACATAATTATCGGGCGGGGCATGGCGGGGATGTGGCCACTCCTAGCGCCAGAATCTGTATGCAGGCGTGGTCACGCCCGTGGCCAGTCTGAGACGCGTGCGCCCATCTTGGGGGCGTGGCCAGGTCTAGAGGCGGGGCCTAACGGAAAAGTGACCAATCCTGGTGCTAGAATCTTAGCTGGACGTGGCCTGTGTCCAACCTATGGCTTGTCTAGGCCCAAGCTCTGATGAAGTATGCGTTCGGCTTGGGGGCGTGGCGAGAACTGGGTTGGGCACTTGACCAATCCGTGGCTGTACGATTGCCTGAGGGGCGTGGACGCGCCTGGGACTGCCCCGACAGAGACGTGGGCCAATCACTACGCCTAGACTGGAGACGAGCACCGCCGGAGGCGAGGTGAGACGTGTTGTTCCACGGGGTCCGGACCAATCCTGGTGTTAGCTTCTGAGTAAGGCGGTGCTTGTTTCGAAGGCGTGACCAATCTCGGTGCCAGAGCCTGAACTGGGGGAATGTGGCCAGCCTGGTGGCGTGGTCTGTCAAGACGTTGGCCAATCTTGGAATTAGGCTGGGCTCGGGGGCGGAGTTTCAAGCTGCCGGAAACAGTGTGGCTGTCCGGGTTTGAGGACGGAGCAGCCGGCCGTGGGCGCCGGGCCGAACGAGTCGGCGGCCAATCGCGCCGAGGTCTGGTGGGGGTCTCCGGGGGCGCGGCCCGTTCGGGGGCGGGGCCTGGCCGGTTCCGGACCGCCCAGGGGCGTAGCCGGTCCTGGACCTCGGCCTTGGCCATGTCGGCGCCGCCCGCCCTGCAGATCCGCGAGGCAAACGCGCACTTGGCGGCCGTGCACCGGCGCGCGGCGGAGCTGGAGGTGCGGCTGGACGCGGCGGAGCGCACAGTGCGCGCCCAGGCCGAGCGCCTGGCCCGCCACGACCAGCAGCTGCGCGCCGCCCTGGACGAGCTCGGCCGCGCCAAAGACCGGTGAGGCCCGGGGCCGGCCAGGAAGACTTCCCGGAGGAGGGGAAAGGGTGGCCGAGCCGGGCTTGGAGAGGCAGGAACGGCAGAGGGAACCGCGTGCATTCACGTAGATTTGCAAAAAAAAAAGCCCAGAAACCCCCAAACTCTTAAATTAGTCATCAGTATGTAAAGTTCAGAGATGTCACCGTGTGGGTTTCTGGCTTCTCATAAAACAGGGTCCATTTCCCCACATGGCAAAATCGGCTAGGGGGGCTCAGGGACCTCCTACTCCCTCGTATAGATATTGGGAGCCATGCAGGTTCTTGAGCAGGGGAGGACCGGGTGATATCAGCAGTTTTGAAGGACCCTCTGGAGCCCTGGTAGCGCATCGGTTAAGCGCTAGGCTACTACCAGAAGGCTGGCGGTTTGAAACCAGCCAGCGATTCTGCTCCCGTAAAGATTACAGCCTGGGAAACCCTATGGGGCAGTTCTACTCTGTCACCTGGGGTCACCATGGGTTGGAATCAACTCGAAGGCACCCAGCAACAACACTACCTGGCAGCTGAGGATGGAAGGGAATGAGACAAGTGCTTAGACAGTAGGGAGGTGCTGAGGGCCAGGCGGGAAAGGATGAATTCAGAGCTACTTGGATTCATTTATTCATCTTTCCTGAGCACGGACAGGGCCCCGCCCTCAGAGATCTCATAGTCTAATGGGAGACAGACACATCACTAGGCAGTTACAATGTGGGGTGACCGGGGTTGTGGTTGTAGGGGGTGCAGAGGGCTCTGTGGGGGCCTAGGGGGAAGGCTTCCTGGAGGTGGCTCCATCAAAGTGAACAACACATAGGGAATGATGTAGGGGAAGAGAACGGCAAGTGTAAATGCTTGAAGCCTGAGTGAAGGGAGGTGATGGGGGACTGAGAGCAAACCACAAGGTTAGCAACTCGAACCCACTCAGCAGCTCCTCGGGAGAAATACCTGGTGATCCGCCCTCGTAAAGATTACAGCCTAGAAACCCCTATGGGGCATTTCTGCTGTGTCCCCTGGGATTGCCATGAGTCGAAAATTGACTCGAAGGCACCTAACAACAGCAACAACAGAGGCAGTGGTGAGGAGCACGGACTTATCCCCATGGTGACAGGGAGCCTGGGGAGCAGGATCTGTGATGCCTTGGTGCCATAACCACCCTGTCTTGCTGCCTAACAGTGAGATCGCCGCTCTCCAGGAGCAGCTGCTGACCTCCGAGGCCGCTGTCCACAGCCTACAGGCCACCGTGCGCCAGAGGGACGACCTCATTGGGCAGTTGCAGCCCCGGGCCGAGCTGCTATGGGACATCTGCCGTCACCAGCCGCCCCTGGCCAGGCTGCTGGCCACCCTGGCTGAGGCTGAGCGCCTGGGGCCCCTGCCAGCCAGCGACCCTGGTGGGCCCGGTCCCCCACTTGCCAACAGCACTGGGGAGGAAGGTGCCATGGACCACCTGCAGCCGGCCGTGTTTGGGACCACGGTGTGAACCCTGGAGCACAGATTCCACAATGTACACACTGGGCCCCTGCGGGGTCTTCCACTGCTGTGTGTGCCCTCGGGGGTCACCAGTGTCCCGGAGGCGACCCCATGGCAGAGCCTTAATCCTGTCTATGCATTGGAACCAGCTAAAAAGCCAAAGATCTCAAGCTGGCAGCCCACAGGCCAAATGCAGGTGTTTAGCCCTTACAGAGGTTTTAGAAAACTCAAGTCAATCATCCTCGTTAAAAAATTGGCAGCATTTACACAAAAATCTGGATTTCTAGCCTCAGGCTTGGCCATGCTTACCTGGATCTGAGTCGAGGCTGCCCTCTTTAGCCAGGGTGTGAGTTTCACTTGGCCCCCTCGCCTCTCTCAGGTTATCTGTCTGGCCCCTGAGGCACCTGAGTGTGAGACCCCTCTCTTTCTGGCAGGAGCCCTGGTGACACAGTGCATAAAGTGCTTAGCTGGTAACTGAAAGGTCGTTGGTTGGAACCCCCCAGTCGCTCCATGGAAACCCTGTGGAGCAGCGCTACTCTGTCCTATAGGGTCGCTATGAGTCGTAATCGACTTGACAGCAACAGGTTTGGTTTTGGTTTTTTATATGAAAACGTATTTTTCAGTTCCAAATTTTTTTTGCTACCTGTGCCCTTCCCTTGACCTTTGGCCCAGCAGGAAGAGCAGGTCCAGCAAGGTTTGGTGCAGCTGAGACGCTGGCTGCCAGGCTGGTCTGCCCCCAAAACATCCGTGCGTCCCTTAACTTTTTCCGCATGGTGTCCTGCCTCAGGGCCTTTCCGCTGGCTGTTCCTTCTGCCTGGCACACTCTTCCCCACATTTCCCCATGGATGGTTGTCACTAGGTCTTTTTTTGCTTAGATATCACCTCCTTAGAGAGGCCTTCCTGATCACCGTATTTGAAATAATCCCATCCCCCAAGGTCCCCACCATAACTCCATTTTATTTTCTTTACGGAACTTGCAACCATTTTCTTTCCTATCATCACTATAAGCTCCGTGAGGGCAGGGAGGTTTGTCTGTCTCATTCCCTGCTTTGTCACCAGAGCCTGGCACACATGGGGTGCCCCAGTGGGGACAGCCAAGGCCCCCAGCACATCTGATAAGTTCTGATTCCGCTTTTGTAGCCAGTCTCCTTTTTTCTATTCCCTAGAGAGAATCTATTTTTTAACACTCCTGTTTCTATACAGTTCTTCTTGGCCCCAGACATCCAGGGCTCTTTGCTTTTTCTCCACCCAGGGCGAGGAGAGACACTCGTGCCCTCCTCAGTCCAGCCCAAGTGCCCAGCCTGGTGGCAGCCCTTTCCCGGCCTCCTCACTCAGGGAATCGTCACACCGGGAACCGCTGAGGGACAGGGCTCATGTCAGCCGGGCAAGGTCAGCAGCCGTCCCCAGCCTGCAGGACTGAGCTGCCAGCCTGACTGGCATCTAAGAATGGCCCCTCAGAGCAGTAACAACGGCCCTGTTTTCTCCTCTGAATGTGCGGAGGGGGGCGGTTTTTATGAGAAGACAAGCCAGGGCCTGTCTGTGCTCAAGAATAAACCAGATGATTTCGTGGCCTGGGTCCTTCAGCCTTTCTCCCTGGCGTGGGTGGTCCTCTGTGTTGTCCTCGATCCCCGGTGGGGCCCAGCAGGTAATAGTCCTGAGAGTTTGCGCGAGGCGCTCTACATACAGTCGTATCTCCGCAGCCCCATTTTACAGCTGTGGAAAGTGAGGCTCAGAGAAGTGAAGTGATAAACAGCTTCCGGGTCAGGAGGGCCTGGGCCACTTCCAGTTTTTTGAGGTTACTGTTAAAACTCTTCTCAAAATGCCAAAACAGAGCTACAACAATTGTAGTTATCTTTTACACACACACACACACACACACACACACACACACACACACACGTAAAATTAATGTTTGTAACACTCGTAAGAGGGAATTTTGGACTGCAGCAAGCCATCTGCATTTTTGCAGCAAAATCCTGGTTTTCCTGGAAACCCGAGGGTACCATAACAGCTGTGCATCGAAGCAGAGCGCCTGGTGGCCTGGCATCTGTGGGTGGTTTCTGACTGAAACAGCCACTTCCAACAACACGGTTGTGCTATGTTTGAGTTCAGCCCCAGTTTTGAAAAGCCTCAAAGGACCCCTGGGTCTGTGCCAGCGGTGGGTTCCCCAACAGGGCCACGCCTTAAGTCCTGGGAAATGCCACCTCTGTTGGTGTTGATGTCCACAGTCTCAGCTGAAGGCCTTTGGTGACGGCGGCATCGGTTCCTTTGGTTGGTGTCAGGGTTGGGCGGCCTCTGGTGTGTACCCCAGGGCCTCTGTCTCATCACCAGCGAGCCAGCAAACAATGTTTGAAAGGGACCAGAAAGCCAACAAAAACCTATGACAGAAATACTGTGATTGGCTCCTAAATACTACAAGACATAGACTTTGTTGATGTTAACATTGAAATGTCTGCACAACTTGGCTGTGTCCTGACTCTGCTCTCACTAGTTCTGGAACATTCCATTGGATATGGGCCTGAGAAGGAGGTCTTGGCTCCCCCAGCAGCTCTGTCAGCCCTGGCTCTGGCTGAGCTGTCCCTTCAAGAGGGGAGGGGCCCAGGGAAACCCAGAGAGGGGAAGGGACCTGCCCAGGGTCACACAGACCATCAGGACACTGTGGTGCCTGTGGGGTTGTGGCCGGGAAGGGAGGCCTCGCCTGCCTGCCTGTCTGGCTCTATCCCAGGCTGGGCATTGTGGAGACGGGGCATGAGTCAGCAAGTTGATGGCGGGTGGGTGGTAGTGCCAGGGCAGCCTTGCCACCCAGCCCCAGAGGGCTCTGTGTAGGGCCCTGTGGCCCCTGGCACAGTGAGGGTTACAGCCTGGGCCCCTCCCAGCCTCCAGAGCCACATAGTCCCTTAGCAACAGGCCTGCCAAGAAGGACGCGGCTGCTGTGGCTGCACAAAGCAGGCTGGAGCTGGGCAGAACCGCTGTAGGGAGGACCCAGGGACAGACGAAGGCCAGGTGAGCCGACATGGGGCGGCCAGCGCCTCCCTCCCTGGCATGAATCTCACCCTGCCTCTCTCCTATCCAGCATGGACGCAGCGGACGCCACCGTGGAGAAGCTCCGGGAGCAGTGTCTGGCCCGCGGGGCCTCGGGCATCCAGGGCCTGGCCAGGTGGGAGTCCCCTCCACCCTTCCCGCCCTTGGCCCGCCTGGCCCCAGCCCTCCTGGTCACCCTTCAACGTGCCGCCGCCCCAGGTTCTTCCGCCGCCTCGACCGGGACAGGAGCCGGTCACTGGACGCGGCAGAGCTTCAGCGGGGCCTGGCCGAGCTGGGGTTGGCGCTGGGTGAGGCCGAGGCGCAGGCTGTGTGCCGGCGCTGGGACCGCGATGGCAGCGGGACGCTAGACCTGGAGGAGTTTCTGCGGGCGCTGCGGGTGAGGGTCGCGGCCCGGAGGGGGGTGACACGCGGTGTCAAGGGTGGGTGTGTAAAGGCCTGCCAAGACTGAGCGCCTGGGGACCCCTGCTAGGGTGACCTGCCAGCGTTCTGCACGCGCGGCCGGGGTCCCGCCCACAGCCACCTCCCCCTGGTCCCCCAGCCCCCCATGTCCCAGGCCCGGGAGGCGGTCATTGCAGCCGCTTTCGCCAAACTGGACCGCAGCGGGGACGGCGTGGTGACCGTCGAGGACCTCCGCGGGGTGTACAGCGGCCGAGCCCACCCCAAGGTCCGGAGCGGGGAGTGGACGGAGGAGGAGGTGCTTCGCCACTTCCTGGACAGTTTCGACTCTTCGGACAAGGACGGGCAGGTGGGAGCCCTGCGCCCCTCCTTTCCCCACTGGGGGTGTCCGTGTCTCGGCCCCTCACAAGCCTGTCTGCCCCCAGGTCACACTGGCAGAGTTCCAGGACTACTACAGCGGCGTGAGCGCCTCGGTGGACACTGACGAGGAGTTCGTGGCCATGGTGACAAGGGCCTGGGGACTGTGAGCGGCCCCGCCCTTCGCCAGGCCCCGCCCACCTCCACTGACCCGCCACACTGCGTCCCGGAGGTGGGGAGGGAGCCAGGGGTACCTAGATTGAGGTCCCAGAACCGGCTGGACCAGGTCACAGGGTCTGCGTTACCGCCAGTGGAATGGACAAAGGTTCTATAACGGACCCGTCTCAGAAAGACCCCCCCCACCGCCCCTACGGTCAGCGCCACCCCGGGGCCTCAGGGCCCCCACGGCCCCTCCCTCGTGTGCCCCGGGAAGGCAGGCGGAAGAAGACGGCTCTTCTCTGAGATGACGCGCCCCACGAAGCGGCCAGTCCTGGAAGGGGCCGAGCGTGCCCCCTGCCCGGAGTGGCGTCGTCCTGAGGCCCCTGGGCATGCAGGAGGCCAGGGTTTTAGTTAAAAGTTTTAATGTCGTTCCCAAATACATTTCATAGGACAATCTTACATAAATGTTCCAAAACACCTGGGCATTATCTGGTTTTACTTGTCACTAGTTGGCTAAGGCTTAAAGCAGAGAAGTGACCGGATCTCGTGGAAGGGGCCTTTGTAGTCTTCTCGGTGCTCAGCTGGGCAGGGCAGTGTGGCCGCAGGGAGCTGGGCCGGTTGTGGGGCCGCTCCCGCCCCCACCACAGAGTGGGGGTGCAGAGCCCAGGCAGCAGCCCCCCGCGGGAGGGGCTGGGCGATGCCTGCCATCCTGAGGAGCCTGTGCACAGTGGACCGCACCTGGTGGGTGCATGGCCGTGGGTGTGGGGTGGGCATGGCGCACAGTCCTGGGTTGGCGGCTGCAGAATGGCCGGTGTGGGAGCCACTGTTGTCTGGGCCCAGCCCCCACCTGCTCTGCATAGCCAGGCCAGGGTCCCCCTCTGCTCTCATGGAGGCCCCCAGCCGCAGCAACACCTTGGGCCGGGGGAGGAATGGCCAGGGTCAGAGGCAGGGCTGTACTGGGGTCCAGACAGTGGGTGAGCCACGTGATGTGCAGGCAGGAAGGGTGGGTGGGATCCCTCCAGGGCCCAGAGACCCTTTAGATAGGTTCTCTCCAGAACTAGGCCACCCTCACCACCCTGACTCAGCCTGAAGGAAGTTGGGGTGGGGAACGAGTGGGGTCTCCCCGAGAGCGGCCTGCTGCCCCAGCCCTAGCCCCAGTAAGGCCCAGGCCCTGCACAAAGGCCAGGAGCACGAGGTGTGGACGATGGGACAGAGTGGCTGCTCAGCAAATGGGAGCGTTTTCCTGCATCTAAGAAACTGAAACTCATCCTTGGAAAATAAAAAAAAATAAAGATCTGCAAAATATGAACCCCAAATGAGAACGGGGACACGGGGTGGAGAGTCCTTACAGAACGTCTGACAGGCCCAGTGTTTACACTTCGGGGGAGAGATGCCGACGCCTAGCTGTGGCCCGCGGGGACCCCCATGCCAGAATCTCAGCAGGCGGTGGCAGTGGAGAGAGGCCAGTGGCCTGAAGGCCGCGACCCGAGGGGGAGAGACGAGGTGCCCGTCCCAGTGAGAAGCCATGACAAGTCTTAATGTGCCATTTCAATTCAAAGGGGGAGGAGAAAGGTCCTTGTGTTCTGCTCATCAATATGATGAGGTCTCGTGCCCACGCCACACCGGGCACTTCCGAGTCTGCTTTGGGACAGGACGTGCGGATCCAAACTGTGGCGACCCAACAGGGGTGTGGTTCCGAGTCTGCGCCCCGATGCTGCCGCGACGCTGCCGCAGGGAGGGGCGAGGGCGGGCGGGCGGACAGACGGACAAAGCAGCAGCCTGTGTGCGGCGGCCCAGCCGCTATGTGCTCCCGGCCGTGGGCCCGTCCCCTTCATCACCGGCGCCTGTGGGGAGAGTGGGACTCACTGCCTGGCCCTGCCCAGGAAGGCTCCAGGCCGCTGGATGAGAGAGCAGTGGGTCATGTGGTCGTGGCTTGGGGCCACATGTGAGGACACTGAGTTCCCTGGGCCAGCCTGGCCCCACTGAGGGCACGCCTAGGTCACCCCAGCTTATGACAGTGGGTGAGGGGTGGCGGGGCCCATCCAGCTCACCGCCTCCTGTGGCCCCTGAGGGAGCCAGGACATCGTCATCACTGTCATCCTCTTCATTGGACGGGGCCACCCCCGGCTCAGGGGCGGGCACCCTGGCCTCCTGCTCCTGTTCCACACGGCTGCGCAGGGCCAGGATGCGGTGGTGCAAGGCTGCATACAGCTGGCCTGTGTCCTTGGAGCTGGCCTGCAGGGGAAGAGGGCTGTGAGGCTCCTGTCTGAGGCTGGGGCCCTGCCCTGGGACCCCAGTCGTCGTCCCCCACCTGCCCTCACCCACCTGTGACGAGGCGGAAAGTGCTGGGTTACAGGGCTCAGAAGCACCCCATCCACAGCACACTGACCCCTTTGCCCACGGGTCAGATCATGGGCCTCTCTGTGGCTCCAAGGACTGCACAGAGCCCAGCCTGTCAGAGCTAACGATGTGACCACTGTTCCTCCACATGGGACATGGGACAGAGGTGACCCCTGAGCACATGGCCAGACCATGGTCCATCCCTCATGGCTTCTCCAGGTGCTGCTGCTGGGGGAGGAGGAGGAGGGCACACTTGCGGTCCCTGGCGGCTGGCAGTGTATCGCCCGAAACTAAGGCCCATTCCCCGTCCTCGGCAGCGCCCTGCCCCCAGCCCCGAATGCCCAGGACCGTACAGCCCCCAGGCTTCCCCCTGGCAGTTTCTAAGCCTGCCCTGTGCAGCCCAGACCCCGGTGCCCTTCTCTGCCCCCCACAGCTGTGAGCTGGCGGAGAGCTCAGAGATGCCCGTGGCTGTGCTGCCGAGGTCCTTCTCATAGGATGGGACCTTTGCTAACCACCCTGGGGCCCTCCTCCCCGGGGCCAGGGGCCCGCTCACCGAGATGAGGAAGACCTTTACGCCCTGGTCCTCCGTGTCTGTGGCTGTGACACGCACGCTCTTCTCACTGGCTTTGTCGATCTGCATCTGCGCCCACAGTTTGGTGTTAAGGATCAGCCGCAGGCTCCCCTGGGTCCGCATCACTGCAATGACAAGGCCACCGTCAACCCCAAACAGCCGGCGGGGGGAAGATACAACTTGGAAGGACACTGAATGTCACAAATAATTCCACGGCTGTCCTGAGATATGTGAAAGCTGCCCGCCTGTCTGCTAAGCCAGAGCCCCTCAACCCCCGGTGGCCACCCATACTGGGAGCCGGCCCTGCAGCCTGGCCCACCCCGCCTGCTGTGGGTGGGAGGCCATTTCCCCTAGCTCCAGAGCCACCAAAGGCCACTGGTGGCATCAGTGGGCTGCAAAGGCCAGGGGTGCAGACTAGTGGCCAGAGGTAGGGGGTTCTGTGTGGTCCCCACAGTCACGTGCCAAGGTGGCAGCTCCCTCCGGGGAAGGCATGACCAGACAGGAGCAGGAGGGGAACTGCAGGAGGCGGGCAGGATGTGACACACAGCTGCGAGTGACGCCCCCCACGCCCCACTTCAGGCCGAGCCCCTGGCCCTCCCCGCGGTTTCTCATACGACAGAAGCACATTGCTTCTCAGCTCCCACTGAGAGGGCCTGGCAGACAGAGTGAGGGGCAACCTGTTGTGGAGACACACGGGAAGCCCCTTCCTTCTCTCCGTCTATGTGGTCGGCCTGCAGGGTCTGGGGTCCTGTCCCCTGTTTGTCACAGCCCACTCACCCTGCTGTACCTGACACCCTGATAAGCCTGTGGACAGGTGGCCTCTTGCCTTGGGGCCGGCCCAGCTCTCCCCACTGGGACGGGCCTGGAGAGGGTTAGGAAGCCTGTCACCTCAGCCAGAGCCCCAAATGGCCACACGGGACGTGGAGCGGCTGAGGGCAGTCGGGGCACCTGCTGGGTCCTGGCCCCGACCCCCTGGCTCTTCTGTGCCCACCACTCCCCTGGGCCCAGCCTTGCCTGCCCAATGAGTCCCTCCGAGGCTGGCAGAGGCTCTGGTGGGCTTTGGGGGAGGGCTGTGAGAAGAATCAAGGCTGCGTGGGTGGAGGGAGAGGGTCATGGGAGTCGATGGGGGCAGGAGGGAGCAGCTGAAGCAGGCCACAGGTCAGCGACAAGGAAGAGCAGAAGGAGGCTGCAGGACCTCACAGTACTACGCTCTCTGTGTTCATTCACATGGGGCTGGAGATTTCCATAATAAAAAATGTAAAGTAGATCAAGAGGACGCCCACGGGGTTGAGACATGCCCAAACAGGGGCGGTCCTCATCTCTGTTCCACCTTTGGGAACCTTGTGAGTCCTGCATGTGGGTGAAAACATTGCTGAGAGGATGCAGCATGAGCTACTATGGGGCCAGAAATCCATGTTTCTGTGAAGGCCAGAAGACGATTTTAATTTGGGAAGAGAAAAACACACGTTTCACACCCGTGCACATATATATGTTGGCATTCTTAAAAAAAAAAAATATGTATATATATTTATACATACACACACACACACACACACACACACGGAGTCCCTGGGTGGTGCAAACAGTCAACATGCTCTCTGCTAACAGAAAGGTTGGAGGTTCGAGTCCATCTAGAGGTGTCTTGGAAGAAAGCTCTGGCAATCTACTTCCAAAAAATCAGCCACTGAAAACCCTATGGAGCACAATTCTACTCTGACACAAGGGGTCACCGTGCGTCGGCGTCAACTCCACGGCCACTGATAGTGGTTAGGATACGTATGTGTTATACGCACATGTAAACTCTTACATGTAAATTCTTACAACAAACACACCTCTGGGAGTAAGACTTGTGCATAAAGATGGCCCCAGGAGGATTAGGATTATTTACAACAGTAAAAAATAAGAAACCTCAATGTCCCTCAATAAGGAAATGGCTATATACATTAGTTGTCAATGGAATATTAACGAAGAAGTTTTTCAAAAACAATCGCATTTTTGAAGAAAATTTAATGATACAGGGAACACGCTCATGAAATAGCAACTGAAAACAGCAGGACGTGAAAATGCCCCATTTCATGAAAAAAGAACCAAAAAACAGGACTGGATTGCTGACAGGTTAACCAAGATTTATCTCTTTATAAAGAGGACTAGAGTTGACAGAAGGAGCCCTGGTGGCGCAGGGGTTAACTGCCCGGCTGCTAACCGAAAGGTCGGCTATTCGAACTCACCAGCTGTTTCAAAGGAGAAAGACGTGGCAGTCTGCTTCCGTGAAGATTACAGCCTAGGAAACCCTATGGGGCAGTTCTACTCTGTCCAATAGGATTGTTATGGGTTGGAATCGACTCAATGGCAATCGATTTGGTTTTTATAGTTGACATTTTGTTTCTTCTTTTTCCTCTTCTACCATAAAACAAGTATCATTTTTATCAGAAAATAAGTTAAAAAAAAAATGATAAGTACTTTTCCTCATTTGAGTACTCAGTAAAAAGAAAGGCCGAGGGAGGGCTGGCTCCTGGAGCCAAGGGTGAGGCATGCCGGGTGAGGGCAGAGCCAGGCGCCTGGGGTGGAGTGTGGGCACGGTAGGTGCCGGGTGTGGGCTCAGGTGGCCGCCTGGTGCGGGGTGTGGGTGGTGGCCATCCTGGGGGGCCTGCTCCTGCTCTGTGGGTCTACTGACGAATTGGGACGTGGCCCTTGGCGCCCTCTGGAAAGCACACTTCTCTGCACATCCCAGGCCTTCTCCCAGGACCCCACACTGCTCACCTAACCGGGACTGTAACGTGCCATCGTCCGCAGACGCCATGTCGTTGAGTCTGAGGAGCCCCCGGCCTCTCTCCACCCAGGACTGTGAGGCTTTGTCAAAGACAAACAGCTTACACTGGATCTGGAACACAAAGACGGCCCTCCTGGTGAGCAGGGGCCCAGGCCACTTCAGACACCCACCAGGACGGCTACAACCAGAAAGATGGATCATGGCAAGTGTTGGGGAAAAAGTGGGGAACCCAGAACCCTCATACACTGCTGGTGGGAATGTAAAATGCTGCAGCTGCTCAGGAAAACAGCCAAGATATGTTCCTCAAATGGTTAAACAGAAAGCTACCATATGACCCAGTAATTCCGCTCCCAGGTATATACCCTACAGAATTGAAAGCATGTGTCCACACAAAAACTTGTACACGCACGTTCACAGCAGCATTATTTGCAGCAGCCCGAAGTGGACACAACCCAACATCCACAGATGATGGATCAACAGAATGGGGCCCAGCCACACAGTGGAGTATCATTCAGGCACAGAGAGGAAGGAAGCGCTGACTGATACACGTTACGACATGGGTGAACCCTGAAAACACTACGCTCCGTGGGAAAAGCCAGACACAAAAGGCCACCTATGGAATAATCCCATTTACACGGAATGTCCAGAGTAAGCAAATCCACACACAGAAAGCAGATCACTGGCTGTCAGGGGCTGTGGGGAGGAGGAATGGGAAGTGACCGCTAACAAGTACAGAGTTTCTTTTTAGGAGAACAAAAACGTCCTAAAATTAGATTGTGGTGATGGCTGCAAAACTGTAAATATACTGAAAACTATGAAACTGCATACTTTTAAAAGGGGAAATTTTATGGTATGTGAGCTGTATCTCAATAAAGCTGTTATTAAACAAACCAACAAACAAAGACTTTGTGATAGAGGCCATTTGTAGGCCGCGAAGCCTAAAACAAATATTTACCATCTGGTTCTTTACAGAAAAAGTCTGCAGGTCCCCAACAGTCAGTATCTCTCAAAAGGAACAGATTTAAAAAAGTGGTAGTAAAAATCCCACAGTACTACACATGGTTTACACACACATGCACACACACGTATGCATAAAAGGATGTCCCAGAGAAGGGGGGATGGCGACGGGTAAAGTGGAAGGAAAGTTCTGGCTGCATCTGTGACCCTTGACCCTCCCCAATAAACTCGAGATGCCTGTGTGCCAAAATATTTACGGTTATTAACTCTGGGTAGCAGAGAAGCAGAGATGGGGGGGATGGCAGAGGGGTGCATTTGTCCCCGAGTGCAAGTCCAAGGGGGCAACAGGGGCGCCAGACAAGGCGCAGAATGACATTCTGAGGCGCCACAGATATAAAGGTGCCTGACTGAGGCAGCCGGGCAAGAGGGGGGAAGGTGGTTCTGCTGACGCGTCACAGCTACCAACTTCTATTATTCATCCTGAAACTGGTGGGGGGTGGGAGGATAGGGGGTTGTTGCAACTTAGAGATTGTCCCTGGGTACATGAATGGGGAGCAGTTTAGAGATTGCCCCTGGGTGCTTGAATTGGGGGGGCAGTTTAGAGACTGCCCCTGGGCGCTTGCTGCGCCCCTGCAGAGAAGCTGTTTGGCAGTCTTTGCAATTCCCTGAATTACCAAGAATGTCTCAAAACAGATCTTTTTGCTCCAGAGAACAAACAATACAAGCAACCCCTCGGAAGACAGCTGGGCCGGCCCGTCACCTCTGTCGCCCTGTGGGAAAGCCCCCTGGTGTGCGGAGGATGAGGGCTGGACCCTCAGATACAGAGAAACGGGCCACCGCTGGCTGTCCCTGGCCCCTGGCCCCTCACCTGTAACACGTTGCTCTCTGCCTCCTCCCCGGTGATGACTTCCACTTTTTCCAACAAACACTTCCGAGCTGTTGCCTTGGTGTAGGCGGCTGCCGACTCGGCCAGGGACTCTGAAAGGTTATTACCTGAACAACACTGACTATTTAATGGCAGGGGGTGGGGGGAGCGGTTTCTAGCTCACAGGAGACCAAAAGGGGTGGTCCTGGCCTCATGGGTGACAGCTACCCCTGTGGGCCACACCGGGGCCCTGGAGTGAACGCTGGAAACAGGCCAAGTAATCCGGCCTTGGAATTTGTGGGGAGGCCACTTGGGCCGGTCAGTGCAGCTCCCGATCTCTCGCCTTCCCACCCAGCAGAGGACCGGACAGCAAGAGACTTCAAACGCAGGTCGCTGAAATGACACTTCCCTCTGAGCATGCGGGGTGGGGACAAGGCTGCTGCCAAGCACGCAGGGGGAGGACAACGGTCGCCTCAGCAACGCCCTGCCTGCCCCCGACCCAGTCTGCACAGTGACACGAGCCCTCGCTCTCCTGAAGGCAAGCGTTTCCCATCTTTTTTCTGTTCCACCACTGCTGCCCCAGTAGCTGGTTCACAGGTGGGCATCACGGGCAGGGGCGAAGAGGGACAGCCCCTCCCATAACTCGCTCCCGGGGGCAGGAGAATTCTAAAGTACCTTTCTCGGGGGTGGCCTCCTGGGAAGAGGACTCGGACCTGGACTCGGCGGCCGTGTTTTCCCTGTTGGCATCTGAGCTGACCTCATTTAATTTTGGCGGGCTCTGTGGAAAGATGAAGGCACATGGGATGAGGGGTGTTTGTGTGGCCCCGGGCGACGGGGCTGCAGAGCAAGGCTTGGGCACGAGCCCACAGTGCCAGCTCTCCTCTGCCTGGCAGTGTTTCTGCGGTGGCTTCTCCTTTACAGCTTGGAGGGCCTGTGCAGACCCGGGAGAAGTGACTGCGGAGCGGTTCTTCCCCCAGGTCAGGGATGCTCGGGCCCCATCTGCACACAGCGCCCCTTGAGTGCCCTGCGGCTGCAAACCCTCACAGAAAGCGGCGGCTCGACGCTCGCTGCACTCGGAGCTCGCAGTCCTTGCAGACTCACTCCTGGGTGCCTCCCATGGACACCCGCACCTGCCCTCGGAGCCCCAGCGCAGCTTGCAGATGGAGCGCACTGGTGCAGGAGAAGAGAAGCAGGAGGCTCCCGGGTTCAGTGGACACCGAGACAGGATGGGGAACGCTGGGGGGCCAAACCAGCTCCTCACAGACAACAGTGGGGCTGTGAGCATTTGACCGGGAAGAAAAGGAGTGCGGGTGAACGATTCCCCGGCTGGATGGGTGCCCGGGGAAGGGAGGGTCCTTTGGTGCACGCTGATCCATCGGCTGGGTGGGTGGGCGCATTGCGAGCAGGCCTGCTGGGGAGGGGTCAGCCCTGTTTGGCCTGCAATGGCCGGGAACACAGACCACCCTGCCTGGCTCCTACGGGGCTGCAGCCTCGGGGTGGGGTAGGGCCACCCTCCTGGGCTCTAAGCGTCCAGCAGTAGCATGGAGCTAAGAACCTTTAGGACTTTCCTGGTGGCTGTCACTCCAGCTGGCCTTAACCAGGAGGGAGCACAGACCCTGACAGCTGGCACAGCGGACAACTGCTGGCAGATTTCGGGAAAAGACAGGGGTGTGCTCACCAGCTTGCACCTCCCTGGGTTGCTGGAACCCCCACCCCGTCTCTAAGCTGAGCCTGAGCTGGGTCTTCTTTCTCTGACTCGCACTTGAAAGTATCCCAGTTTTACAGAGGACGACGCGGCAGCCACGTTCCACAGGTCCCCTTGGGGAAGCCCTAAAAGCACTGGGTCCCCACAGGAACAGCTCCTGCCTCAGCCACTCACCAAAACGCGTGCACTCATGTTCTGGCCAAACACGAACTTGTTGCTGGATGAATCGGCACTGTTGGTCGAGTTCTCTAAGCTGAAAAGATGCGTGTGAGCATGAGGCTGTTAGATGGAACGGGCCAAGGGCACACGCGCATGTGCAAACGCACACGTGCACACACGCACACACCATCAGAGACCCCAGCCTGCTGGAGAAAGCACAGGCCCAAGCACCACTCAGCCGTCCTCCAGGGCCAGGCCAGAGACAGGTCTCCCGCACGCGTCCACGCCCGCACTGGGACGGGAAACTCGGACCCTAGGCTGGTCTTGGTGAGGCGTGTGAACGGCAGGACCCACCTACTGGGCACCCACTGCACACGGGCTCAGTCTGTCTGTCTGACACCTGCTCCTTCATCCGCCGAGAAGGTAGGCCTCGCCCTTGCTGGGCAGATGAGCACAACAGCTCGGAGAGGCTGAGCGCAGGGGTCAGAATGGGGAGCCGGCCACTTTCGGAAGGAAACCCAGCTGTCCCTCAGCAGTGGGCTGATCTCTCTGGGAGAGCTCTCCTTCCATCCCGGGTCGCTGGCAGGTGACACAGACGGCGCTGAGCCGGCGCGCGGCCTGCTGACCGGCACTCACCAGCTGCCCTGCCCTCACAGTGCCCCTGATTTAAGCCATCACAGATCCTAAGTGCCTCCCAATTTTGAAAATGTGGAAGTGCAGAAAGACGTGTGTCATAAAAACAACGAACTCTGCTGATGCGTGCGGCTAAGTGGTGAGCTCACTGTCCAGCTGGGCCCGATGTCTGAGCCCACCTCCTGACCACCATGCCGGTCCCTCTCCCAGCTGGAGACGCTTTCCTTCTGAAGCACCTGGTGGGGCCATCCACACCACTGCTGAACATGAGCAGCAGTGGAAGCAGCCAGTGCAAGCTTAGGTCTTCACCCCACAGGCCAAATCCTGGGTCAGGGGCAGCCAGAGGTCGGAACCTCCTGGCCGACAGGAGGCAACCCAGTCGCTACGGGCCCACTCGGCATGAGGACCACCAGAGGGCAGGCCGTGTCCTCCACCCGCCCCTGGACAAGCACCCAGAGCTCTGCTCCTGCTGCAGGTGTCTGTCCAAGCCCAGGGGAGAGCAGCCCACCCCAGCCCCTCCACAGCTGGGCCCAGAGTGGGAGGGTAGGAGGCTGCACGTGCCTCCTCTGCCTGCACCCCATGGAAGCACCCAGCTCCAGGCACTGCCACCTCTCTGCAGGACCCCGCTCCGTGGCAGAAGTGTGGAATTCTGGGGTAGGTGCTGTCCTGGGCATTCAAGGTGTTAACCAGCATCCCCCCATCTGCCCATTACATGCCAGCAGCCTCACCACTCAGCCCCTGGCTGGGCACCCTGCCCACCAACACGCACCTGGAGCTGATGTACTGGAGGAAGTAGTTCGTTGCGGTTGGCGTTTCTGAGCTGGGGTGCCCAGCATTCTCCACGTCAGCTACGTCTGTGTTCTCATTTATTAACTGGGAAACAGAGGGAACACTCAGGACCCAGAGAAGGACATGGGGTGTCCACACGATCCTTCCTCGGGTGGCACAGCTCCGAGGCCTTCCTGTGTGTGCATGGGGGTGGGGGCAAGGGGGGCTTTTGTGCTTTTAATGGTGAAGGTACAATAACAGTCCCTAAAGCACCAGGGAGCCTTTTCTACCTTGTTAAAGAAATGTCACGTGTGAGCTGGCACCTTGGCTTTCTCATCAGTGCTCCTGTGCCGAGGGGACACAGAATGTTTACAAGTCTGGCATTTCCCGGGGTTTGCCGTAAACATAACAAACGATCGTTTCCTGAGGGCTTCCTTTATGCCAACTGCTGTGCTGAGTCTGTTACATACAGCGTTTAATCCCCCCGGAAACTCCAGGAGTGGGTATTACGGAGCCACCTCATCGACAAGGAAACAGGCTCGGAGGGGTTCAAGCATCGCCCAGGGTGCCCTCAACAGAGAAGCTGGGATGTGACTGTCAGACTCCAAAGCCCAGGAAAGTCCGAGACCTCCATAAAATACTGCTCCACCCCAATTCTGAGCACCCACCCTTCCAAACTCCAGGACCAGCCTCTGCCTGGCATGAACGCCAGTGGCCAGGCCAGGATTCCATCCCAAGTGAGTGGGTTTCAAGCCCTCCACCTCGAGCCCTTTACCTCGTCGGGAGCAGCCCAAAGGACTAACTGTTGTGGCCTGAAGTTATGGCAACACAAGCGCCTGTTTTTCACGTCTCGTGGGGGGTTTGGGCTTCTGTTGGGCAGTGAGCACCAGAGGAGCAGGCAGGAAGCACCACCCGGTGAGTCTCCACGCCAGAGATGTTTGCTGCCTTACTTCTGGGTTTCCCCCCGACGTGGGGCCAGGTCATTCTCTGTGGTGAGGCTGTCCTGTGTGCCACAGGGTGTACAGCAGCACCCCCGGCCTCCACCCACTCAGTGACAGTAGCACCCCCCTCCCCGGACCTGACAACCAGAAGTCTCCAGACATTGTCACTGACGTGGACTCTCAGGCTTCGAGGGAAGCTTCTGGCCCGACGTGCTGTGGAGAACGCTATGGAAGGTCTCTCCCTCCCTGAGGCTGTGTGAAGTCCTGTTCCCAACTCTGGTCTCCCTGGAGCCCCAGCACCTGGAGCTCCAAGCTGTGGCCTGCCATGCTAGCCACTCCCACCCCAACCCCAAGTCCCCCGGCTGGACAGATCAGGAGGTGGCAGACACTGTCGTCTCCTTACGGGACAGAAGGCAATATCTTTGCCCCCTACTTAAAATAAGGCAGTGGTACTCATTCAGGCAATTCTGCCCCACCCCGGGGGACACCTGACAATGTCTGCAGTTATGGTTGTCACAACTGGGGGGAGGTGTGCTACAGGAACTGAGTGGGTGGGTGGAGGCCAGGGATGCTGCTCAACACCCTCCAATGCTCAGGCCGCACCCCAGAGAATGATCTGCCCCACATGTCCACAGTGCTGAGGTGGAGCGACCCTAAACAAAGGACAAAAGCTCCCTGGCGTGTAGAAGGCACGGGACAGTGCAGTCGGCCATATCCTTTGCTGTGAAGCCATCAGTTCTCAGGGATAAGCTATGTCCCTGCTACCGGGACGAGGCGGCCTGACGTCAGCAGACAGCGCTAACGCTCATGCTCAGTGGAGGGTGGTGCTGGGCAGCGCCCCATCAGGATGCACCCAGCCTGGCTGCCCCGTCAGGGTGCCCCCAGCCCAACAAGGTATGGAAAGCAGTGGGCTGAGCAGTGAGGTATGGAAAGGTACCCAGAGAAGCAGCTGCCCGTGGCACAAGTCCTGAGACGACCCCAAAGACACACCCTTTGCTTCCCAGCGCCCTGCCCTCCTTTTCTAAGGAAAACAGGACTTCCCGTTGTTCATCCTGGGGGAGGCATACACGAATCAGTTCATTAGTGCAAGGGATCATCCGAGCCCCTGACCACGCACCTTGACTCTGTCCCTCAAGTTCTGTCCAAAGACAAACGCCTGCTGTGCAGCTTGTTCCTTTCTCTCACAGTTCTCCTCCTCAGAAGTGCTACTAGACTCATTTTTCTGGGGCTCTTTCTCCTGTTTAAGACACACACACACAGAGAAGGGACAAGCTTACTTAGACAAGAGGACAACCCCACATCGTGTGACTGGCTCCTCACGGGGAGGGTCCCTGCGCCGAGAGACAACCTGAGACTGGCTGGGGACGAGCCCCACTGGCACCCTGTGCGGAGCTTCCCTTGGGTGACGTCATGTAAGGCGGGCCCCGGGACACCAACCACAAGTTGCTGGCCCCTAACAGGTTTGCTTTAGACGAATGGGAGTCTGTGTGGGAGGAAGAGGTGTGGATGCCAGAAGTCCAGCAGAGCCTGTCCCACTCCTAGGGGCCACATGCAGCACCCCAGACCTCAGAAGGGGTTGGTTTCTGAGTGGGAGGTGGGATTGGGCAGCCTGGAGAGGCAACAACAGGGGTCTCTGCCCATCATGGGAAGTTGGGAGACCAACAGGCTCCCATGGCCCAGCTGACCAAGGCTCAGACTAAACCAGACCCGGGCCCTCTGTGGAGCTGAGTTCGCAAGAGAAGCTTCTGGGTTTCCACAGACAACATTTCCTTAGACTCCGATTTCCTTCTGGTTTAAAACAGCCAACAAGTGGTCCTTCTGTCCCATTGAGGTGACTCGGAAAAGGAACACCACCAGCCAGCATGACTAAAAGGCGCTTCCAGGAACCTGTTCTGAGACACTGGCCGAGGGTGCAAGGACAGACGAGAGGCCTGCTGCAGCACTGTGGGTGCCGCGGGGGGCTCATGTCAGGCGAGGGGCGGAACAATCTAAGAAACAAAATTCAGGGGTCTCTGAAATGAAGTGACGCCCACACACGCAGGGAAAGCAAGCTGTAGAGTACACGTGTGGTTCTATCTCGGTTAAAAGCGAGCTCAAGGTGCCCAACTACCAATACTGAACATTTAGATCAAGGATTCTATAGAAGAATACTGATCAAAAGGGGGAAATGTGGAGCAGAATTTAAAATTCTCACAGAATTCAGGCTTTTTGGAGCCACTGAGGCTGGATGATCCTCCAAAACTATTACCTTGAGGAAATCTTTAAACCTTGAACTGAAACTATTCCCTGAAGTCATCTTTGAACCAAATAATGGTTTAGCCTAATTAGAAAAGAATGCCTGCATGAAGCAGCATATGCTTTTAAAGAACTATGTATAAGTGATCACAGTGACAACGGCAACTTGAAAGGATAGATGAGAACCTTAGGGGGCAGTTGAGTTTGTTAATGGTGGTGAAAAAAAAGAGCTTGGAAAAGATTGTAGAGAAAGGTGGCACAACTTGAAGAATGTACACAAAGTAACTCAACTGCTGTTGTTGTAAGATGCTATCTAGCTGATTGCGAATCACAGCAACCCTACATACAACAGAACAAAATACTGTCCAGTCCTATGTCATCCTCACAATTGCTGCTGTTTGAGCCCACTGTTGCAGCCACTGTGTCAATCCATCTCCTTGATGGTCTTCCTCTTTTTCACTGACCCTCCACTTTACCAAGCATGATGTCCTTCTCCAGGGATTGCTCCCTCCTGATAACACATCCAAAGTATGTGAAGTCTTTGCCATCCTCACTTCTAAGGAGCATTCTGGCTATGCTTCTTCCAAGACAGATTTGTTTGTTCTTTTGGCAGTCCATGGTATATTCAATGTTCACCAATACCATCAATTCAAATGCCTCAATTCCTCTTTAGTCTTCCTTATTCATTGTCCAGCTTTCACATGCATATGAGGCGACGGAAAATACCATTGCTTGGGTCAGGCACCCCTTAGTCCTCAAAGTGACATCTTTGCTTTTTAACATTTTAAAGAGGTTTTTAGCAGCAGATTTGCCCATTGCAGTATGTGGTTTGATTTCTTGACTGCTGCATGAGCACTGACTGTTGATCCAAGTAAAATGAAATCCACTGACAACTTCAGTCTTTTCCCCATTTATCATGATGTTGCTTACTGGTCCAGTTGTGAGGATTTTTGTTTTCTTTATGTTGAGGTGTAATACATACTGAAGTCTGTAGTCTTTGATCTTCATCAGTAAGTGCTTCACACCCTCTCCACTTTCAGCAAGACAAGGTTATGTCATCTGCATATCCCAGGTTGTTAATGAGTCTTCCTCCAGTCCTGATGACCCGTTCTTCAAATAGTCCAGTTTTTTTAATTATCTGTTCATCATACAGACTGCAGTATCGCGAAATGATACAACCCTGATACACACATTTTCTGATTTTAAATCACGCGGTATTCCCTTGTTTTGTTTGAATGACTGCCTCTTGGTCTACGGAGAGGTTCTGCATAAACACAATTAAGTGTTGTGGAATTTCCATTTTTTCAATGTTATCCATAATTTGTTATGATCCACACAGTCAAATGCCTTTGCATAGTTAATAAAACACAGGCAAACATCTTTCTGGTATTCTCTGCTTTCAGGCAAGATTCATCTGACATCAGCAATGATATCCCTGGTTCCACATCCTCTTCTGAATCCGTCTTGAATTTCTGGCAGTTCCCTGTTAGATGTACTCTTGCAACCGCTTTTGAATGATGTTCAGCAAAATTTTACTTGTGTGCGATATGAATGATATTGTTTGATAACTTCCACATTCTATTCGGTCACGTTTCTTTGGAATGCACACAAATATGGGTCTCTTCCAGTCAGTTGGCCAGGAAGCTGTCTTCCAAATTTCCTGGCATAGCTGAGTGAGACCCTCCAGTCCTGCATTCGTTTGTTGAAACACCTCAATTGGTGTTTTGTCAATTCCTAGAGCCTTGTATTTTGCCAATGCCTTCAGTGTAGCTTAGACTTCTTCCTTCAATACTGAGGCCCTTGGTCACAGCCCCGCACAGGGGTTTCCCCAGGGCAGTGCTGGGTGTGTGCTTGATCATATGCTACCTCCTGAAATGGTTGAATGTCGACTGATTCTTTTTGGTATAATGACTCTGTGTATTCCTTCCATTTTCTTTTGATGCTTCCTGCATCGTTCAATATTTTGCCCATGGAATCATTCAATAGCGCAACTTAAGGCTTGACGTCTTTCTTCAGTTTAGTTTGAGAATGTCAAGTGTGTTCTTCCCTTTTGGTTTTCTACCTCCAGGTCTTCACACATTTCATTATAATACTTTGTCTTCTTGAGCCACCCTTTGAAATCTATTCAGCTTCTACTTCATCATTTCTACCATTTGCTTTAGCTATTCTACGTTTAAGAACAAATTTCAGAGTCTCTTCTACATCCATTTTGGTCTTTTCTCCTTCCTATCTTTTTAATGCTTTTTTCATGTATGATGTCCTTGATGTCATCCCACAACTCGTCTGGTCTTCGATAATTAGTGTTCAGTGTGTCAAATCTATTCTTGAGATGGTCTCTAAATTCAGGTGGGATATACTCAAGATCATATTTTGGCTCTGGTGGACTGAACTGTACACGCAGAAATTGTTGAAGTGGTGTGTTTTGTTTGGTATATTTTTACTCACACGCACACACACAAATAATAACAATACAAAAGGAAACAAACTCAATAGTGTGTGTGTGTGTGTGTGTTTAGAAATAACCAGGAAGATAAATCATGAGAAAGAGAGAATACAAATTATCAAGAGATGTTATCTGGGGGTCTCTGAATCTAAGCAGGGGGCTTACAGGGTTTACTTTATAGATTTCTGTGGCATTTCAATGCTTGCAGAATGCAGGCACTACTGCATTTCTTACATGCTTATGCTTTTCTTATACAACAAAAGCTAGCAGATAATTAGGAGAAAAACAAAAGCTCTTGGGCTGATGCTCTGGGGATGTGTGAGGTGGAAAAAATGTTAAGTAAGGGCGTCCCCCAGAGATGCTGCGGAGGGATCTGAGAAAACGAGAAAGGCTGTGTTGGCTCTGCCTTCTTTCAGCTTTTGTAGCTGGCGGGGAGACTGGAGTTAACATACCAGCCTGGTAGAAATTGTACTTTTGAGTCCATTTGTCAAACAACTTA